AGGAAGAATGAGTCAAAAAGAAGGGTAAGAATGAAGAATATAAAATTTTAGAGGGACATATTTGTACGTAGAAATTTATTTTAATAGGAAAATTAAAAGAAATTGTGAGAATACTTTTGTTATAACAATAGTTTAGAACATGTAAGCAGAATCGAACCTGAAAAAAAATTAATCGGGGTAGTGAGAGGAATAAAAGTTAAAAGAAGGGTAAGAATGAAAAATAAAAATACAGGTAGAAAAGTAAAAGGAAAAAGAAAATATGAACAGGCCCAAAACAAGAAATTTAACATTTTAAGGGGAGAAAAGAAAAATAACAAAAGTAGGGGGACGAAAATTTACCTTTAAATCAAAACTCGTGTGTTTTAACCAAAAGTTATTTGTAGCCGCAACGGTAGGTTTTCTATTCTTATTATTATGTATAGATATAAACATATATATATATATATATATATATATATTCTCTCAATGAAGAAAATGTTGTCATTGTGTTTTTTTTTTCTTTCTAATCAAAATGTTGCCATTGTTAAACTTGTTCTTATTATCTCTACCGTCTTTGTTAAGTGATCAGTAATATATATTATCTACTTTTTCTTTAGAACTTTCAAATATTTCATTTTCTCGAAAATGGCATAAGAACATAGATGATTAGGATTCAGCTCTTTGCACCTTGATTTATTCTGGAAAACTCAAGTTGAAGGGAAAACTTGAACTTCAGTTCAAACTCGAGTTTAAACTTAAAAGAACATGAACTTGAATAAAGTTGTAACTCGAGTTGTTTTTTTTTGAGTTTTTGACTCAAAAACTCAACTGCCGAACAGCCCCATAATTTGTAGTATACTTTTACCTCTATCTATTTCTTTTAACTTCCCTAAAAAAAATAATAAATAAAATTCTCTATATAAAAGACTATTTCGTTTTAATTATGATTGAGATGATTTTTTTTCTATGTGTTGACAACGAAAAGACAAATAAAACCCCACCCATATACCCTATTAAAATTTTTCATCAGCATTGAGTTTTTATTAAAATACTATCTAAATACAAATTCAAGTTTTGACTCACTCAAACACAAACTCGAAAAGATTCTTATCTCAAATCATAACTCAAATGTACACAATCAAACACAAACTCAAGTTACAACTTCAACTCAAATTCAACTCAAGAACTATACTCAAATTACACTCTAAAAGAACAGGCCCGTTTGATATCGATCGATACTTAACCCAACCAAGTAGGATTGCAATGCTGTTTGGGTTTGAACTTTTTTTTTCTTCTCTTAGGTGATATTGAGATTCGAGTTTATTTTTCAAAGGTGGCGATTCAAGCTTATGAATTCATGATATTCAAGGAGAACTTTACCATTTGTTTGTAGGTTCAAACTACTATTCAAATTCTTTTTACTAGATTGTTTTGTTTCACAAAATTTAAGGGTCCGTTTAGTTCATGCGTTTAAATTAATGATTCTTAATTTTAGCATTTAAAATTCAATTTTTTTATAAGAGAAAACACTGTAACAAAATCAAAACTATAGATTTAAACAAATAAAACAAACGAGCTATAAATTTCTGTCTAAACATTTTTGTTCAACTTATGAACCAAATGGGCCTTTAATCATTTAACAACGCATGATTAATATATGCATTGTATTCAAACGTTTAAATCCAACAGGGCCTTAATAATTTGATAGTGCATGATTAATATATAATACATGGTGTGTGAAATTTTGGCTCCAACTACTGTCTGCATATAACTTTATATGTACATTATACAGAAGTAAATGGTTATTGACAATTTTGGATCTTTTGTTTTTTTTCGACTGTATGTATATTGTTTGATCTGGAGCAGGCAGACCCTGATTTGTCCGAATATGGAGATGTAAGCGAACTCATATACATGTTGGGACCTAACCAGCCTCCAACCAGCGTTATAATGAAGCCTGAATTTCAGCGCAAAATTTACTATGATATGAGTCCAATTGAGGTACTTATAATTAGAACTATTACTTAAGCAGTATATATATATATATACATGTTTTATGCAAATAAATATTTTTTAAACCATTAAGAGCCTTTTTCTCCAAGCATCTGATCAATTTTTCTTATCCAAATTGAGGCTTAATTAACCTGCTATGATCACTTTTTTTTTTAAATCCATTGTCAGAAATTATTTATTTGAAACTCAACAATGTACTATTCAGAAGTGATTAAACCTCCAAAAATAAAAAGATTACCTACTTTTGGGTTTAGGAGCAATATTGTTTGATCTTAAAAAAAAAAATTAACTTTTATTTTTCTTTGGTCACATAATAATACTCAAATTCAATAGTACTGTACTTTTTTTTTTTTCTCTTTTTGCTAAATAGTAGTACTAAATGATTATGCATTGTATTCCTTAAAATAATGTCATTGTGATCGAATTGAACTACTTAAGAAAAAACCTTTGCATAAGTATGGTCGTAACAAAATCTTATTACTTGGTCTAGGACTCCACATTGGCCTCAATGCTACCAATTAGAGCCTTTCAAGGGGCTAAATTCATGGAAGGACCGGGCGCCGATAGCGTACCGAGGGTCTACATCAAGACATTGTACAACCGCGTGATAAAGCAGGAGCAACAAGATGCTATGATAAATCGATGGCCACCATCCCAAGTGTTCTTCTTGGAGAGTGATCATAGCCCCTTTTTCTCCAACCCTGATGTGCTCTTCAGCTTTTTACTTAAAGCAGCAACTTTTTAATCTCTCGTGTGTGTTAAAAAATTGTCAGCGTAGTATTTTTTTTTTTTTAATATTATTCTCCGCATATATACTATAAAACAGGCTCTATAAATAATGGATCACTATCGTGATGGATTTGTAGTGACAGTTTCGAACATTAGGTAGTTCTCTTTAAAAGTTTTAAATGTAAAAGTTTGTCTGTGTCAATGTTGATACTCGATTTTTACAGTGTCTGGGCTCTTGAGCAAATATACTTGTCAGTGTCCCCTTCTCGGACTTTTATTCAGCTACAATATACACATTATATATATATATATATATGTATGTATATACGTATAAAAGATGGATTATAGTTTATACTACGCTGAGGTATGTCATTTAATACCAACGACGAATTGTGTGTACATAATAGTTACGGTAGTCGGTAGCGAATTGTGTGTACATAATTAATTTCTGACATCGTTGGGTGGTTAGGTCCTTTTAAAGGTTCGATCCTAGCGGTAAGGAGCTTCTTTTGGTAGGGGTGGTACCGTCTCCAAAAGTTAACGACAGTGGCAAGATGAATCATTGGTTGCCATTGGATGGTCTCTTTCTGGCGGTTTTGCCACTTGACTCTCGAAGCCTTCTTCCTTCTCTTGTAGTCCCCTTGCCGACTGCGTTTTTATTGGAGGCTTGCGCCAACGATGCTTTGAGTTTTCTTTTTACTTTGCTTTGTAGTTTAGAATGTAATAAAGGTGTGGCGATGTGATTCTCACCACTTTTTAATTTATTTTATTTTTTTATAATAACGGAGATGGATTTCCCACCGTCTGGTGTTGGTTATGTCTCCTACCCGGTTGAGTATTTTTTTGAGAGTATGGATTGTTTGGTCAAGTTAGAATATTGTTTGTGTCATGATGTTGATGTCTCTTCTGAGTGGGGGTTATTGTTTTATCCTTCTAGCGCTCGAAAATTTATTTTGATAGGAGGAGAACTAAAGCCTTAGGTGTGCTCGATCTTAATGTTACGAGATTATCTTCCGTTCTCATATCTCAAGTGAATGTCTGTCTTTTTGTCGAGTCATTAACCTTATAGTATGGTGTTTGTTTATCTTTTTTCGTTTGAATACAAATTTCCCTTTAAAAAAAAAAAAATATCTTCTCTTCATTTATAAGTTGTGGACATGCTTTTCGCAAGTACATATATATGATCTTATCTGATGTCTCCACCATGTGGTGGTCGTTCGGGCTTAGCAGGCTAAAAGACGTAAGGCCAACATAAAGACGTAGTGAATTGTGTGTACATAATTAATTTCTGACATCGTCAATGTTGGGTGGTTGGGTCCTTTTGGAGGTTCGATCTTAACGGTAAGGGGCTTCCTTTGTCAGGGGTGGTGCCGTCTCTGGAGGTTGGCGACGGTGGCGAAGGTGAATCATTCGTCGCCATTTGATGGTCTCTTTCCGGCGGTTTTGCCGCTTGACTCTCAAAGCCTTCTTCCTTCTCTTGTAGTCTCCTCGCTGACTGCGTCGTTGTTGGAGTTTTGCGGTAACGATGCTTTGGGTTTTCTTTTTACTTTGCTTTGTATTTTAGAATGTAATAAAGGTGTGGCGATGTTGTTCTCACCACTTTTTGTTTTTTGTTTTTTTTTTTTTGTAATAACGGAGGTGGATTCCCCACCGTTCGGTGTTAGTCATGTCTCCTACCCGGTTGAGTGTTTTTCTGAGAGTATGAATTGTTTGGTCAAGTTAGAATAAGTTAGAATATTGTATGTGTCGTGATGTTGATGTCTCTTTTGAGTGGGGGTTATTGTTTTGTCCCTCTAGCGCTCAGAAATTTATTTTGATAGGAGGAGAACTAGAGCCTTATGTGTGCTCGATCTTAGTGTGGCGAGATTATCTTTCGTTCTCAGATTTCAAGTGTACGTTCGTCTCTTTGTCGAGTCATTAACCTTATAGTGTGCTGTTTATTTATCTTTTTTCGTTTGAGTACAAATTTCCCTTTCAAAAAAAAAAAAATTTCTTCTCTTCATTTATAAGTTGTGGACATGCTATTTTGACATGCTTTTCGCAAGTACATATATATGATCTTATCTGATATCTCCACCATGTGGTGGTCGTTCGGGCTTAGCAGGGCAAAAGACGTAAGGCCAACATGAAGAGACGGATATAAGGTAGGTGTGTGTACTCTATATGATCTTTTGACTTTTCCCATAAAGACACAAAAAAGTAGCTACATAGATCATGTGTGTATCAAGCACAACGATATAAATGTGCATAAAATTATCGCTCCACAAGGCATAAGATAAGTGTATATAAGTAAATCTAGTAAACAGAGCGTCAAGTACAAGAAACAAAGAGAACAAGAGAGCATTTTCCAATTAATTAATTAGAAGATGGCTGATCCTTCAAACCTGCAGCAATTTCACTTTGTGCTAGTCCACGGGGCTGGCCATGGAGCATGGTGCTGGTACAGGCTTCGGACTCTCCTCGAGGCTTCGGGACACAAGGTCTCCGCGATCGACCTCAAGAGCTCCGGCATCGATCCGACCAATTTCGATGCCGTCTTTACTTTCCAAGAGTATAATGAGCCTCTTATCACTTTCATGTCGTCCTTGCCTTCAGATGAAAAGGTCCTATATACTATAAGAGCTAATTAATTACATAAATACACCTCTTAGTTTGTTTATTTATTTTCTTTCTCAATTTATTTGTTATGTTTTTAAAAACTACAAAACTATACTTTAAATTTGTAAAGCTTGTTTCAAATATTCCATCCCTCACCTACGCACTTTTCTCAAAAGCTAAAATATGAGAAAAGACAATAGTATCCTTAAATGGTTTCTGAAAAAATATTTTCAACACTTAAAAAACTTAAAAAGCACTAAAGCAAATCATAGATTTAATTTCTAATTTTATGTTATTAAATGCTTAAAACATTTTTAGAATTTTTTAAAATTTTTTTAAGAAATAAATTGTCTAATAAAGGTTGTCTTTTTTCTTCTTTTTTTTTTTTCTTTTGTCCACATAATGCATGAGCAATGAGGTTTGAAACAAGTTTTTAAAAATTTCAAGATAATTTTGTAATTTTTAAAAATGGAGACATAAATCGCATAAGTTTTAGTTTTACTTATTAATATGTCCACATAGCAACATTTTTCTTTTTTTTTTTTCTTTTTTTAGTAATCAATATGCCCCATGCATATTGGGAGATATTTTTGCAGGTTGTACTCGTGGGACACAGTGTGGGGGGGTCTTAACATTACGGATGTGCTATACAAGTTTCCTGAGAAAGTCAGAGTGGCCGTCTATATCGCAGCCAACATGATGAAGAATGGCTATGGCTTCACTAAAACGACTGCAAAGAACTTTAAGAGTCTTCATCTCGCGGATTTCCTAAAATCTTTGATTGGAACCATTGTAAGATCATATTTCACTTCATATTTTGATTATTGTTGTTGTTATTGTATTGTGGGTACAACTCAAATAATTCTGAGTTAGTAATTTCCTCGAATTTTATTTTACAACTATGTTTGATATTTCAAAAGAAAATAAGATAGAGAAAAAAAATGTAAGAGGTAACGAAATGTACGGTTAGAAAAGAAAATAATTTTTCTTTTACCATTACAAAAATAATCCTCCTTTTAGTTGTAATTTTTTATAATAGGTAGAAAAAATGACTTATTTTACCATTACATGCCATTACAGCTACCTAGCTATTTTATTTATATTATAGTTCAAAAATTAACGAGATTATAAATACTAATTATCTCATATTTTACACGTTATAACTTTTTCTCTCTTAAAATCTCTAACATGCTGGGATGATAAATCAACCTTATTATTAGCTAGATAGTAAATTTCTCAATTTGTGACTAATATGGAGCAGGGAGATATTCTTAAATGGGAGATTGTGATTGGATCTGACTTGCTACCCGGCATCATAGTTAAGCCCGAAAGTCAGCGCTTGACTTATTATCATATGAGCCCCGTTGAGGTAAGTAAAAAATTAACCACAAAGCAGTAGTGATATTTATGATTTATATGGTATGAGTTTCAAAGCCTCTCGTTTACACAAATTATACCTATTACTAAAGGAGGTCGGAAAGTTACTGTACTAAGTACAGTGACTTTCCGATTTTGCCCATCTTCCATTCTGTTGAGGCCTTTTTTATACCATTTTTATCTTTTTAGTTATTTTTACCGTTTTATCCTTTTTTTGGTTTTTTTCCCTTTGTTTTTGTTTGGGTTTTTTGTCTTTTCCTTCGCTTTTCCCTTTTCCTCTCTCTTGGTGTTTACTGAAACACGTCGTTTCTATCTTCTAGAATTTGTTTTTACTATTTTGTCCTCAATTTTTTTCCTTCTCTGTGTTTTTCTTCTGCCCATTTTTGTCATTTTCTTCGGTGGCTTTTGTTTAGCTTCCTCCATAAGCTTCTTCCTTCTTTCATTTCTGCTTTTACGCCTGCATCTCTCTTTCACCGAGTCTCTCATTCTTTGTTTCCTCTTCACAGATCCGTTTCGTTTTCTTTATGGTTTTCTCTGTTTTATTGTGTTTTCCTTCTTAGTTTTTCCTCCATTTTATGTTTGTGGGTTTTGTTGCATTTTTTGTGGGCTTAGTTTCAGTTTATTTCCCTTTCGTAAATGGGTTAGGTTTTTTGTGGGGTTCATTTTGTTTGTTTTTTTTTTTGCATGTTCTGTGCATTTTTTTTCCCCTTCTTCCTTTTTTCCTTTCCGTAAGGTTTATGCGAATCATTTTTTATGTTTTTTTGTTTTGTAGTTTTGTTTTCCATTTTTTTCCTAGGTTTGGCTTCGGTTTTTTTTTCCCCCACTTTTTTTATGTTCCTGGGTTTCCTTATGTTTTTCGTGGGGTTAATTTCAATTTTTCCGTCCGTAAATGGGTTAAGGTTTTCGTAGGGTTCATTTTGCTTTTTGTTGCATGTTCGGTGCATTTTTTCCCCTTCTCCCGTTCTTTCTGTTCGTAAGGTATCTGAGAATCAATTTTTATGTTGGTTTTGTTTTGTAGTTTTGTTTGCCATTTTTCTTTTTTTAGATCTGGCTTTTTTTTTATAGATTTTTTTATTCGTTTTTTTCCCCATTTATTTTTCCATATCTGTTAGTGTTTTTGTAGATTTCGCTTCGTTTTCTCCCTTTTTTTTATTCGGTTTTTCTTTTTCATTTTCTCAGTTCTGTGCGTTTTTTTGCTTCGTTATGTTCTATGTTTTTTAATTTTTTCCCCTGTTTTTCTAGATCTGTTAGTATTTTTGTAGATTTGGTTTCGTTTTTTCCTTTAGTTTTTTATTCCCCTTTTTTTAGATCTGTTAGTGTTATTTTTTTTCCTCATATCTGTTATTGAGGTTTATGGGATCAGATATCTGCATTTGGTTTTGTAGTTTTGTTCTTCATTTATATTTTCTTAGATTTGATTTTGTTCTTTTTTTCCTGTTTTTCGTCTTTCCAGATCTTTTGGTGTTTTTTTTTTTTTTTCATTTTTCCCCTTTAGTTTCTGAAATTTTTAAATGTTTTTCCCTCCCATATCTGTTAGGGTTTCTATACATTTGGTTTCGGTTTTTATTATAATTTGTATTTTTTTAAGTTTCCAGATTTGTTAGTATTGTTAGTTCCGGATGTATTATTTGTTATTGTTATCTCTTATTTGTTTTTTTCTAATTAAGTTTTTATTTTTATTAATTATTAACTCTTTTCTCTGCAGGTTATATTAGTCGGGAATATTTAGACATTTGTTTTTAGTGCAAGGTAATTATTTCTAACGAGATACTTTGTTTTGACTGTCTGCAGGTTTTTTATTATAATTTGTATTCTTTTTTTAGTTTCCAGAGATTTGTTAGTAATTTTAGTTCCAGATGTATTATTTGTTATTGTTATCTCTTAATTGTTTTCTTTTTTTTTAAATTACGCTTTTATTTTTACTAATTATTAATCCTTTTCTTTACAGGTTATATTAGTCGGGAATATTTAGACATTTGTTTTTAGTGCAAGGTAATTATTTCTAACGAGATACTTTGTTTTGACTATCTGCAGGTTATTCGCTCTGTTCCACGGTACTTATCATGCATCGTAACACCTGTTTTTAGCAAATTATTACCTTTTGTTTGTAGCGTAATGGCGATAGTGTTAAGTTTTGTTTGCAGTATTTACTACTGCCATATACTCAAACGTTTATTTTCTTCGTATAAATATATTGTACTCTCTTTCATGCTTATAGTCATTTGCTTTGCTCCTGCTTTCGTTGTCATCTACTTATCGTCTACCTTCTCTGTCTTCTTCCTTTTCTTCAATTTTCATTAGAGAGGTTTTTTTCCCCGTTCTATTCTCTCTGTTTTCAAATGTTTTTAGTTCTTCTGCATCAACTATATCCACTTTCTTTATTCCTTTAAGGTATTTATTTCTTACCTTTTTCACCTCATTTCCATATACATATCGTTTATCTTTTCTGTCTTCTTCTTTTTCTTCAATTTCCATTACTGAGTTCCTTTTGTTATCTTTGTTTTCAGGTGTTTTTCCTGCTTCTGCATCAACTCTATCTACTTTCGTTATTGTTCTAAGGTATTTATTCATTACTTCTTCTACTTCATTTCTACTTCTCTATTACAAATCTCCTGGTCCCTGGTGGTGATGATGTTTTTCCTCTTTATTGTTGCCATGTACTGAGTAATTGTTAAAAGTAATTTTAGCAAGTATTGTTGTTGCCCGGATTATTGAAGATTTATCCTCATATTATTTCGTTTAGGGTGTTTATGTTTTTTGAAAAATAACAAACCTTTTTACTTCTTACTTCCAAATATTTTATTTCCCTTATTCCACTCTAAACCATTTCATTCTATAACTGATCTTTTTTGTAAGTTTTTTTTTTTACTATTACAGCTATTAAAATTTGTTCCTCTGTTATTTAGTGCAAGTCTTTCAATAATCCAGCTGGTAGACAATAATAATGTTGAATCATAATTTAGTTACTTTTGATACATGTTGGTAGCAAAAAAAAAAAGGCAAAAAAATCCCCCAAGAATTGTTGCCATGTATTGAGTAATTGTTAATAGTGATTTACTAACATGTATCAAAATATCAAGCTCACATCAATGTTGATAACATGTATCAAAATATTCAAAAATAGCGCTGGTTCAAGAATCTACTTTAAATACTATTAAAGAAGGAATACAACTTGATAACAGATTTGTTATTCCATATAATCGTACATTATGTATAAAATATCAAGCTCACATCAATGTTGAAATATGCTCTGAATCAATGCTCATAAAATACTTATTTAAATATTTAACAAAAGGATCAGACAGAATAAGAGCAATTATTGAAGATATTAACATTACAGATACTACAAAAGAAATAAATACAAAAGAAATTGATGAAATAAAAACATATCTTAATTGTCGATATATTACACCCTATGAAGCAATTTGGAGATTATTTGAAAACCCAATACATCATAGAAATCCAGCTATTCAACGACTTACAATTCACTTACCAAACATGCAAAACATTACATTTAATAAAAATCAACAATTACATAATATAATTAATTTACCTCATAATAAAAAAATAACGCTAACTAAATGGATGGAAATTAATAAGATACATGAAGAAGCTCGATAACTTACTTATATAGAATTTCTAACAAAATGGGTTTGGAAACACAAAGATAGAATTTGGACAAAATGACGAAATGGACATACTATTGGAAGAATGTTTCATATTCCTCCCAGTTGTGGTGAATTATTTTATTTAAAATTACTATTAAATCATCAAAAAGGTGCAACAAGTTTTGAATCAATTCGAACAATTAATAATACTATTTATCCAACATATCAACAAGCCTGTCATGCATTAGGATTATTAGGAGATGATAAAGAATGTAATGAATCAATTGAAGAAGCATCATGTTGGTCAACATCTACTCAACTTCGTCAACTTTTTACTACCATTTTACTATTTTGTAACGTATCTGACCCAATAAAGTTATTAGAAAATCACTGGAACTTAATGTGTGATGATATTATATATAAATTAAAAAAAGTATTCAACAATTCAACATTTCAAATCCCAGATAATGAATTATATAACTTTGTACTATAATTATTAGGAGATGATAAAGAATGTAATGAATCAATTGAAGAAGCATCATGTTGGTCAACATCTACTCAACTTCGTCAACTTTTTACTACCATTTTACTATTTTGTAACGTATCTGACCCAATAAAGTTATTAGAAAATCACTGGAACTTAATGTGTGATGATATTATATATAAATTAAAAAAAGTATTCAACAATTCAACATTTCAAATCCCAGATAATGAATTATATAACTTTGTACTATACGATTTAGAAAAACTACTAAATTTAAATGCATCTTCTTTAACAAATTTTAACATATCCCTTCCAACAGGATCATTAATTGAAGATTTAGATAATAAACTTCTAAGAGAAGAACTCAATTATGATAAAAAAAAAACTAAAAGAAGAAAATATAAATTTAATAAATAATTTAAACCATGAACAGTATTGTATTTACGATGAAATTTTAAAATCACTTACAAAAACCTGTGATAACTTATTTTTCGTATATGGATACGTACAGGAAAAACATATTTATGGAATACACTTATTAACAAAATTAGATCAGAAGGTGAAATAGTATTAGCAGTTGCATCATTTGGAATAGCATCATTACTTTTACCAAATGGTCGTACAGCACATTCACGTTTTCGTATTCCTCTTTTAGTTGACAAATTTTCAACATGTCAAATTAAAAAAAATACTCAATTAGCAAATTTAATAAAGAAAACAACTTTAATATTATGGGATGAAGCGCCAATGAATAATAAATACTGTTTTGAAGCTTTAGATAAAACAATGCAAGACTTGAGAAATAACTTCAGTCAACCTTTTGGAGGAATGACAGTTATTTTAGGTGGTGATTTTAGACAAATTTTACCTGTTATTCCAGGAGGCACAAAAGAAAACATTATTAATGCAAGTTTTAATAATTCTTATCTTTGGCCATATTTCCGTGTACTAACATTGACAAAAAATATGAGATTAAAAATTCCAAACAGTTCTATTGATGAACAAACTGAAATTAAAAAATTTCTGATTGGATACTAAATATCAGAAATGGAACACTTAATGCAATAAAAGATCCTGAAAATGAAGATGTTACTTGGATTAATATACCTTAACAATATTTGATAAAATATGATAAAAATCTGATTGAACATATTTCCACTGTAGTATATGATGATTTTAAAAGTAATTATGATAATATTAAATATATAAAAAATCGTGCAATTGTAGCACCTAGAAATAAAACAACAGATGAAATAAATGATTATATGTTATCTTTAATACCTACAAAGGAGAAAATTTATTACAGTTACGATACAATTATTTCCTCATCTGGAAACCTTGATGAATTAAATCTATTATATCCTCCTGAATTT